GGGCATTGCATCTCACTTGAATGACACCTCCTTCCATCACCAACGCACTGTGCCAGATGTGTGCACCATTTGCAAGATGAACTGCAGCAACTCACCAAGCCTGCTTCAAAAGCATCTTCCAAACAGCAATCTTTACAACTTAGAAGAATGACAGCAGATACATGGGACCACTACCATCTGCAAGTTTCCCTACAAGCCACAGTAAATTGCTGTTCAAGATTTTGGAGCTCTCTACCTAACAGCACTGTAGGTGCCAAATAGGCCAAGCACTGCTGTGGTTCAAAAGGCAGGACACCATCATCTTTTCTGGGACAATTAGAGAGATAAGCAATAAATGCTAGTGATGCTAGCAACACTTAAAATCCCATTAATGAATAAAAAACAAACTACCTCCACCCACACCAGAGAATGAATAAACTTAACAGGGCTAACTGGAATAAAACAAAACACTTAGCCTCTGATGTGGGAAATCCTATTAACTTCATAAAGTAGTTCCCAGCTGCCAGCCCCATGACTCACGGTCTTCTCTCTGCTGCCTGCTGTCTGATGCCTTGAGCCCAATCTGCCTGTTCTTTGAGCTTTAAAAACACATGCAGAGTCCAAGGACTTACCTTCATAGTGCTGCCCCTTTTTACTACTGTTCAAGAAATAGGGAATGGGAGCAGCACAGAAGTTTGAAGGGGCAAACAGCCACCTGTCAATATGAGGAGAGATATATTCACCTTGGAGGACTGGGGAAGGGACAAAAGTCCAAGATTCATTTTACCAAGCATGTCATAGCAGTTTATGAAAGCTTTAAAGAAGACAAAATTACCACTGGATTCAATTTATTTCAAAATTTCAACTCGTGCTGATTTAATGAGAATTGGTATATTTGGTTTCTATTTAGATCACATCTGCCCCATTTACATGATACACAGCTGTGAATCAGAATGTAAACATTCAAAATGTTGCCTCCAGTTCTCAAAATTGTCCCATCAAACTACAGGGGGTTTATGTTAATGGCTGAGTGAAGAGAACAATTGAGAAGAGAAGCTGAGAAACAGAGACAAAGTTTTACCTTCACCAGCTGCCCAGCTGTCCATCAAAGCATGGTTTGTTCATAGGTGCATTCTTTTAAAAAGCAAAATACTGCAGATGCTGCAAATCTGAAACAAACACAGAAAATGCTGGAAAAACACAGCAGGTCTGGCAGCATCTGTGGAAAAAGAAGCAGAGTTAATGTTGAGATAGCAAGAACTGCAGATGCTGGAGTCAGAGATAACGAAGTACGGAGCTGGAGGCACAAGCAAGCCAGGCAGCATCAAAGGAGTGGGAAAGTTGACATTTCCGGTCCCAACCCAAAGAGTTAACGTTGAGTCTGACGTGACTCTACTTCAAAACTGAAGCAACCTCCAAAGAAGAGTCTTATTGGACGCGTAATGTTAACTCTGAATTTGTCCAACATTTTCTGGGATTCTTGTTTTTTTTGGGCACCAAAATGTATTAGCTAGATTCTAGTTACGGAAATATTGATGAAATTGCTTACATTAATACGGTGGAAACTTAATTGAGTAGACACCAGGTTATGATTTTGGTACACAGTATATTTTCATTGGTTGACTTGAATTTTAAGTTAAGAAAATAGCACCTCAAAACTAACAGTAAATTCACATTCTCATTTATCTGTCACTGCAGAAGCATTTCAAGAATTAGTTTTAATCTCAAATCTTGAGATTGTGGAAGGGTCAAAAAAGATGATGGACAAGTGGCATTGCCAGTGTATATTTGAAAATTGACCCCAAACATTGTTAAGTGGCACTATGCAGACAGAGAAGAGGTTTTGTTGGAGGTTTGAGGGTCTCCAAGAATAAAATCTTGGGGAGTAGCAAGGGTAACAAAGCCATTGCTAGATATAATATGTTATGAGTGGAACCAAGAGGGGACTGGACAACAGAAGAGTGGCATTAATTGACAGTGGTAAAGTCGTCACGTCAAATGCTGAATGAAGGTTGGAATTGACAATCAAGATAAAAGCACAACAGTCAAAAAGACTGTAACTATGGTTTGGCCTGTTTTGGTACTTTGTTAAGGCTGAAAACACATTTGGAGAGATTCAAGCAGAGAGTTGAGCAAAAGATGGGAATGACTATGGGAGGTGACTACATATTTCATATGCTGGACAAGAACCAGGAATTGAAGATGGATCAGTAGCAATGTTGCCCTTTCTTGCCAGTGCACTGGTGATTTACTAAAGTGAACGTTCCTTTTGAAGAGTTTTTTTGTGCATCATAATTTAAAGGACCCAATTTAAGCAGTGACTTGCAAGAAGCTATATAGTTTATAGGGACCATTGGTCAGTAATTTGTAAAGATAGTTAAAAATGGGCTTTGATAAAGAGGGGAAGAAGATAGAAGCATGAGTAGACTATTCAAGGATCTGAATATGCACAAAAAAAAACTTATAAACAAACATAAAATATAGTTATTGTTTTATTTCTGACCTGTGATAATGTTGTTTTGTTGCTGAATTATCTTGCTTTTCTGTTGGCCACCAAGCCAAACCTCGAATGGCTCTGACCTCAACACTATTTCCCCTGCTATCCCATAATTCCTCAATGACATTAGTATCTAGATAAATTGGTAGCCTAGCTAATTACAACATGGAAAGGTTTAAAAACCAAATGTAAGCGGAGCAAACTGTTTAATACTCCAGCTATCTGGACTTTCAGGAAAAGGACTCAACGAGTGATAACAGTTCATTGGGAATGGCTTCAAGCCAGCAAGAAGCAATAGGTGGGATGAGAAACTGATGGAGCAGAAACTCTAGAGAGAGAAAGAATCGACTTCTGGGTCAGAGCCATTCGAGGTTTGGCTTGGTGGCCAACAGAAAAGCAAGATAATTCAGCAACAAAACAACATTATCACAGGTCAGAAATAAAACAATAACTATATTTTATGTTTGTTTATAAGTAATTTGTGCCAGGAAGTGACTTTTTTTTTTTTTAAAAGCAGCTGGCAAACTATAGGAGTAAGCCATTCAGCCCCTTGAGCCTGCTCTGCCATTCAGTGTGATCATGACTGATCATCCAACTCTGTGACATGTGCATGCTTTCTCCTATGCCCACTGATCCCTTTATCCCCAAGAACTATCTAACACCTTATTGGAAACATTCAATGTTTTGGTCTTAATCGTTTTCCGAGAGAGTTCCACAGGTTCACCACTCAGTGAAGAAATGTCTCCTCATCTCAGTCTTAAATGGTCTTCCCTGTGACCTTAGACTGTGACCTCCTGATTCTAGACTGTAGGTCATCAGGAACATTCTTTGTGTTCACCCTGTCTACTTTACTTAAAAAGCTATGAATCCCTCCCCTCATTCTTTTAAGCTCCAAGGATATAACCCTAACTGATCTAGTCTCACTTCAGATGTCAGCCCTGCCATCCTAGATATCAGTCCGATAAACCTTTGTTACATTACCTCAATAGACAGAACATCCTTCCTCAGATAAGATGACTAAAAGTTGTACACAATATGTCTGATTCTCAACAAGGCCCTCTACAATTGCAGCAAGACTTCTCTGCTCCTGTACTCAAATCCTCTCATTATCAAGGCCAACATACCATTTTACCTTCTTCACCTGCATGCTTACTTTCAGCAACTGGTGTACAAGGGCGCCTAGGTCTTGTTGCGCCTCTCTTTTTCCCAATCTATCAGCGTACAGATAATCTGCCTTCCTGCTCTTGCTACCAAAGTCGATAACCTCACATTTATCCACATTATTCTTTAATTGCCATGCATCTGCCCACTCATTCAACTTGTCCAAGTCACACTGAAGCATCTCTATATCCTGCTCACAGTTCACCCTCCCACCCAACTCTGTTACCTGCAAACTTGGAGACGTTACAAATATATAAATAAAAAAAACTTTGGGGAACTCCAAAGGGTAATGAAGTCTTGATAAATTGTGTGAATAGTTGGGGTCCAAGTAATGATCTCTGTTACAAGTCAATGGCTGCCAGTCAGAAAATGACCCATTTATTCCTAAGCTTTGTTTCCTATCTGCTAGCCTATTCTCTATCCACGTCAGTACACTAATTCCACTCCAATCCTGTCGCTGTTTTCCAACTCCTCTGCTATTTAATCTTTTATAATGTACTCTAGCACACAAGGTAATTATAGAGTTTACAAATATTCCTTGTAGAGAAAATCCTGATTAAAAAGGTTAATCTATTGGGTGAATTGATAATAAATTACTGAAGAACCGTGTTTACATTCAGTTAAATGCAGAGCATGTATTCTTACAAGGATGATGAGGTAATTACCAATGGGTGTGGGAAATGTAACAGCCTAGTTAGATCGGATTAGAAATGTGAAATGTGCACGAAAAATCCATGAGATCTACCAGAACGTAAGCTTACAAACAACACCATTAGCCTGCTGCAAATTATTTAACAAGTTGAGAAACTTGCTGAAAACTACAAAAAGTGTAAAATGGAGCCAAATGATTCGTAAAATTTCAACATTGTACAACAAGCATTCCCAGTTGAGTTGTTTTCTGTCTTGGAGACTAATGTCATAATGAACTAAATATTATTTCAAGTTGACAACTGAATTGTTGCATTTGTTTCTGAGTAATTAAGATGAAGAATGAACCATGGAAGAGTTAAAATGAAATTAAAATTCCTTTTTCTTATGTAGATACATCCACAGTGCTGTTAGGAAGGGAGTTCCAAGATTTTGATCCAGAGACAGTCAAGGACTGGCAATATATTTAATTCAGGATGTTGAGTGGCATTAGAAGGAATTTGAATGTAATGATATTCCCTTGTATCCTTCTTGGTAGTAGAGCTCACATATTTGAAAGGGGGTTCGGCAATTTGCTGCAGTGAGTGTTGTATATGGCGGGTCATGACACCGTGGGTCAATGATGAAGGGAGTGAATATTCAAGTTGGAGGAAGAGGTGTCAATCAAGCAGGATCCTTTGTCCTCACTTAGTGGTAATAAAAACAGAATACTTACAGACAGTCGTGAGCCAGCACGTACTCTTGCTACAAATTCTTTTTCCTTTTCTGCAGCTTCTCGTTGGATTCTTTGAAAATTAGTGAGTGCTGTAGTGAATTCTGCTACTAAACGATCTTTCATTATCTTCCTTTGCCTCTGAGGGAAAAAACCCAAAAATTAGTATACATTTCAAAACAGTAATAATGGTCATAAAGAATATATTTGATATTGTAAATGAAGTGTCGTTTACAGAGAAAATTACACTTTCATGATCAAATTAGGTAATAACAGTGATCTAAACTGCTCCAAGCCAACAGCCACATATCCACAAATTATGGAGAAAATGGACCTGAAGTCTTTTTTAACTGTGGTTTCATTTTACTTATGAATACTCATGTCTAAATGTTTTAAAACTCCTTGTAAAATGATTTTACTTACAAATATTGAATTTGAATTAATGAAATAGCAATGTTTTGGTATAAGTGCTCATTGCTAAGTTGAGTGAATAGCTGCAATGCTGAGACTTCTGCTTATTAGCTATTAAATACTAGGAAGGCTGTTTTCAATAATCATCAAAAGACTGATACACCCACTGAATTTGAAGATTCGGGTATTATGGGGTGACAAAAAGAACCCTTACCTGGTCAGTTAAAGATTTTATTAATCCAAATTCCTTTAAGTTCTTCTCAGTTTCTTTAGCAAGGTGGTTGACTAACTGCTGCTTCTGCTGACTAAGATTAGAATAAAACATTTAATATATAAATCGACAATATAACAATGATCAGTAGCAACCGTAGACAACAAAAAGCTGTTGGCAGTAATATCAAAATTCGTTAGATGGACATAAAATGATAGGTACTCCATACCAACGTTTACATTGTTTGTATATTTATATCTAAAGCTGCATTGTATAATCAGGTTCATATAAACAGTAATTTTTGATTTGTTCTCAAGATTTGGGAATGCTGGAAAGGCTACATTTAGTGTTCAGCTGTAGCACAGCTGAGGGGCCTTCCCCTCAACCTCTACAATTTTTGTGCTGTTCACGACAAAATTAGGTATGAAAGTCTGAGATTCTTTCCTAGCAATATTAAAGGAACAGCAGCTTATATCCAAGTCAGAATAACATCATGAGCCATAGAGGTGATAAGTATTCCCGATATTGCTGCTTTTGTCTTTCTTGTTGTTATAAAACCTTGAGTTAGTAGGTACTTTTAATGTAACAGCATTAAGTTACTCTAGTGCATTCTTCAATCTCAAAGCATGCTGATGGAGCCATTGGATAATAAATTCAGAAGGAGAGATGTTAGTGAAGGAAACCGTGCTCTCCAGAAAGGTGTTGAACTTGATTTTTGAATGTTGGGGTTCAGCTCGTCATTGGCAAGCATATATATAGCTTAACTGTAACTAACCATATTTCAGCCCAGACCTCCTTGTTGAAGATCTTTAGATCTTAACATAAACTTCATTGTCAGAAGTACTGAACTAAACCAAGCTAAGTGGGATCAGAGAACAGCTTCATTATAGACTAAAATATGTCATTGATGAATTTGTTAACAAGTGAAGCAAAGAGTCCATCGTAAAGAGCTCCTGCCGACACGTCTAGGGCCTCTAATAACATTCTGTGTATCAGGTACAACTTCAGCAACTGTGGATTTTTTCCACTAAGTTTTGCTTATCATAGGTCATGACAAATGTAGATCAATGCTTTAGTGACAAAGGCAACCATTCTCACTTCTGTTTTTGGCATTTAGCTCCTGCATCCCTGCTTGAGTGAGAGTAGGCAAACTAAGTAGAATAGCTATTGTATAGGGGTTATATTCCAATTATCATATAGAAACATAGGAAGTAGAAACAGAAGTAGGCCACCCAATTAACTTATCCATACATTTCATACATCAGTATCTCATCCAAACCGTTTTTTTTTACATGGGATAAAATGAATAGATGAGATCCAAACACTGATCCCTGTAGTATCCACTTTCCACTCCCAAAACAAACCATTTATTTCTATTCCATTTCCTGCTGCTAATCAGTTTTCAACACGTCAGTGCATTACCACCCATCCCATGTACTTTGATTTTGCACACTGACTTATGTGGTGCTTTATCAAAAGCTTTTTGAAAATCCAAATACAAAACATCAACTGTTCACTCTCATCTATTCCACTAGTTATGACCTCAAAAAAATTCCAGTAGGTTTGCCAAACACAATTTCCTTTTCCTAAGTCTATGTTGACATTGTACAATGCCTTTTTTTAAAAAAAAGTGTCCTGTTATTATATCCTTGGTAACAGACTCCAGCATTTTCCCTTTTACTGATGTTAGATTAACCATTTTGCCACTGCCAGTTGTCTGTGTCCCTTCATTTTTAAACAGTGGAGTTAGACTCAATCTGTTAGGATTGTTCAGGAATTTTGAAAGTTGACAACAAATGAATCCACTATTTCCATGTTCATCAAGTTTGGTGTCATGGAGGTAGATTATCAGGCCCCTGGGGATTTATCAAATTTTAGTCTCATTAATTTTACCAGCACTTTTTTTTTTAAACTAACGCTAATTTCCTTCAATTCCAACTCCCCAAAAAATCCTTGCTTCTATAGCATATCTGGGAAGTTGTATGCGTATTCTTCAGTGAAACAGAGCTAAAGTAGTTGTTTAATTGCTCTGTAATTTCTATTGCTCTCCAAATCAATTCTCCCATTTAAGACTGTGAGGAGAATATATTTGTCTTCACTATTCACTCTACATACTTACAGAGGCTGTTAAAGTCCACTTTAATATCCCTTGCAAGTTTATGCTTAAACTCTATTTTCCCCTCTTAATCAAATTCTTGGTCCTCGTTTGCTGAACTGTATCTGTTCCCAGTCATCAGGCTTGCTCCTTTCTTGAGCAACTTTTATTTGAACTTTCTATGGATCTAAGAATATCCCTAATTTCTTTTGCTAACTACAGCTGAGCTAGTCTTCCTGCTGTGCTCATTTGCTTACAAACAATATATAACTGCTGCAATGAATGTATCAGTTCTATAAAAATTAATAACAGCCTGTCCACTGTCAAGTCTTTTAATGAGGTTACTCAGTTTATTGCAGCCAACTCATCCATTAAGCCTTCATTGTTTCCTTTGATTTGACTCAGTACCCTGGTTTTGGATTGGACAACTTTAGTTTCTATTACAATGAAGAATTTTATCATGCAATGATCACTTTTTCCTTAAGTCTGTGATGTCAGGAGTAGCTCAGTTGTGCAAGGAGGAGAAAAAAAAAGTGCGAGCAATAATGTTAGGGAAATTAATCATGAGGAGAACCGACAGTTATTTCTGTGGACACAGGCACAATGCTGAGATATTTATTGTCTTCCTGGTGTCAGAGTCAAGGATGCCACTGAGCAGCTGTGGGACATTCTGAAGGGGAAAGAGAGAACAGCCAGGAGGTTCTGGTCCATGTTGGTACCAACAATATAGGTAAAAACAGGGATGGAGGCTTGAAAGCAGAACACAGGGAGTAAGGAAATAAATGACAAAGCAGAAGCACAAAAGTTGTAATGCAAACAAATTTCCATTAGAATAGTTTTACAAACCGACAAGAATAAACATTGAAGATTACTTTCAGTTTTATAAAGATTAGGAAGATTTTTTTTGCCTGGGGATTCAGTTCACAGTTGTCTTGGTTTAAGTTAGATGTACTCTGTTTCTCCTAGAAAACTGAGTTAATTTAGGACTGTTAGGAGATAGATTTACCCTCAGTGTAAACGTTTTAATGTAATACATCCAGACCAGAAGTATTTGGTTAGAACTCAGAGTGGCTATTTGATGTTGAGGAAGTCTAAGCAGAGTCTTGCAACTAATCAAGGAAGAGGCTAGAAAAACTCTCAAGACTAGGAATTAAGAAAAAGCTAAGTCAAACATATCGATGGGAGACAGACAGGATTGTATTTTACCATACATTTAAAAAATTTTGCAAATTTTATGTAAGTAATTTTGTTTATTTTATTTTCATTACTTTCACGCATTAATTTTGTTTCATTTTTAAAACCAAATCTACAGCATTATCTGCTTGTGTTTCAGTGAAAGACCAATTCATTAAATCAAAACAAAAACCAAAATAAAACATGACCTGTCAAGCCAGATTTCAGTTTGGGTTCTGACTGGTCCAGTTATAACATCAGCTGGCATCATAACTATACATAGATAATGATCAAATTAAGCAATTTGCAATGGTCACCTGAAGCAGAATACCACTGAGCATACAGCCTTCAATGCCCTTCCAGATTTTAATTATGAAAGGATAAACCAAAGCTCTAATAGGATAAACCAAAGTTACAATATCAGGAATCATACTTAAGTGTCTTATGTGTTATGAATATATAAAAGCATCAATATGAAACACTGATGGGGTTAAGGTATGGAAGAACATATGAACTAGGAGGAGTAGGCTATTCATCCCTTCAAGATCTTCCCCAGGCCTTAACTCCTCTTGCACCAGCTGCTCACAACCCTCAACTCTCCTATACATTTCAAAAATGTATCTACTGCCTCGGAGTACTTTCACTCCCTCTACATCTCTCTGGGGCAGAGAATTGCAGACATTCACTACCTTCTGGGAGAAGAAATTTGGTTCTCAGTTTTACATGAGTGTATCCTACTCTGTATCGGTGTCTCCTAGTTTGAAACTCCCTCACTAGTGGAAACATCACCTCAACACCTACCCTGTCAAGGCCCCTCAAAACCTTGCATGTTTCAATAAAGTCACCCCTCATTCTTCTAAACTCTAAAAATAAAGGCCAAATAGACCAATTCAGCCATTCTTGACAAGCTAGCTCCCTCATCCCAAGAATTATTCTACAGAATCACTTTTGAATGGCCTTTAAATGCCAGCACATCCTCTCTTAAATGTGGGACCAAAACTGGAGACAGTACTCCAGGTAAAGCCTCACCGACACCCAATATAGTTATAACAAATCTTCTGTTTGTAAAACTCCAAACCCCTAGCAATAAAGGCCAAAATGCCATTTACTTTCTTAATTATTTAGAGCACTTGCACGCTAACTTCAATATTTCATGCACAACAACACCCAGATCCCTCCCTGCTGCATATTTTTGGGAGTCAGACTCCAATTAAATTATAGTCTGACTATCTAAGTACATGATCTCACACTTTCCTACACTGAATTCCATCTGCCAAGTTTTTTGCCCATTCACTCAATATATATCTCCAGCAGATTCCTTATGCCCTTCGCAAAAAATGTCCCCCCTATCTATTTTTCTTACAGCAGCAAATCTGGATATATTACATTCTGACCCCTCCTCCAAGACATTAATATAGATTGCAAAGAATTAAGGGTCCAGGGCTGATCCTTGGGACATTCCACTACATAAGTCTTTACAGCCTGAAATAGATTTTTAATCCTGACTCTCTGCCATCTGCATTAACCAAGCCTCAATTCATCCTAATAAAGTTGCCATAGGCCCAGAGAATTATAGATTGCTCACTTGTTGGAGGGAGATATAATTGGCAGTGACTTTAACTTAAGAGTCTACAAGCCTCAAGTGAGGGGCAAGTTTGATAAGGTGGCTTCCACTAGCTGAGGTTATCACGAAGGTCCCGTCTTCACAACTGCACCTCTCACCTGAGGCATGGTGACCCTCCAGTCAGCTCTCTCCATTATGAGAGCAGCCCTATGATCCTCTGGTACTATGGCATCTTGATCTAATCCACCCTAATACATTACCCCAGTACTGTGAGCTCCTATCTTGTGCAAGAACCTTTTATGTAGCATCCTATCAAATGCCTTCTGGTAATCCTAACACACTGCAAATGCAGGTTCCCCTTTAATCAACTCTTCTTGTTATATCTTCAAAAAAATCTCTAACAGATTTGTCAAATGTGATTTTCCTTTCACAAAACCATGTTGACTCAGATTGTGCTAAGCTTTTTTAAATGTTTGCTATTTCTTCCTTAATAACAAACTTTATCATCCTTTCCTAATGACAGAATTTAGGCTAACTGGTGTACAGTTTCTCCCTAGGTCTCTCTCCAATCTTGAGCAGGGATATCACAGTGTGGGTTTTCCAATCCACTGAAACCATCCCAGAATCCAGTAGATTCAGGAATATTTCGACCAATGCCTCCACTATCATAGAATCCCTAGTGTGGAAGCAGGCCATTGGGCCCTTCAAGTCTACACTGACCCCTCCAAAGAGCATCCTACCTAAAGCCACTCCCCTACCCTATCCCTGTAACCCTGCATTTCCCATGGCTACATATCCATGGACACTATGGGCAATTTAGGACAACAAATCCACCTAACTTTCAAATCTTTGGATTGTGGGAGGAAACCAGAGCACCCAGACAAAACCTATACACGTGGGATGAATGTGCACACAGACAGTCACCTGAGGGTGGAACTGAACCAGTGTCCCTGGCACTGTGAGGCAGCAGTGCTAACCACTTAGTCACCATGCAGACCACCTCTGTTGCCATGTCCTTTAAAACCCTTGGATTCAGGCCATCAGGTTCTGGCAACTTGTCTGCCTTCAGTCCCCTTAGAACTGTCAAATGCTTACTCCCTCATGACGGCGACAGTTATTAGACCTTTCATCCCATTAGCACCTTAGCACCTTGATTATATGCGGTCTGGTTTGTGAAACAGGGAGATGCCAACAGCATGGGTTAATTTCCCGCACCAGCTAAGGTTGCCATGAAGGACTCTCCTCCTCTAGCTCTCCACTCATCTAATGCATGGTGACCCTCAGGTTAAACCACCAGACATCTCTACAAGACTGCAGCCCTATAGTCTGTTAAGGACTATGGCAACTTGAAAGCACCAAAACATGATTGCATGTCTACAAAGCCACAATCTGAAAACACACCCACTTTAAGACCTAGCCCAGTTTAATTAACACTGCTAAGAACATACAAAATAAATGCGGATCACTTGGACCTTCACCGTAATTCAGTAAGACCATGCCTAATCTATCTTCTACCTGACCTTCACTTTCCTGATGTATACCTGTAATTCCTCTGTGGACATAGAAAGCCAATGACTCATCATTCTGTTCCAGCTGACACTTCATAGAGTGCTTGTGAGTCCGTTTTACAAACCTTTCCACCGTTTTTTCCAAAAATTAGTCTACTTCCCTTTTATATCTGCCACAGATTCTCAGTTTCTAGTTTGAGAAATCACTTCGAGTTCTCACGGAAAAAGTTCTTATCTTCCTTATTTTACTTACGCTGCATTTATGACGTTGTGTTATCAAATCAGCAAACAACTGTAATACCTTTTCCAAACATGCCTTAATTAAACCCTTCATTTATGAGCATATCTTTCAGATTCCTTGATTTTCATTGCCCTGAAGGAGTATTCTAGATTTTATATCCATAAATTATACTCACAGCTGGTGTCGAAGTTCAATATTATCCTCAGGTTTACCGAAGTAGCTCAAAGTCTTTTGGATTTCTGCAGCTGAAGTGAAAAAGTAACTGAATATTAAGATAATTAAAGACAAAATAAACAATTTTCAGCAAATGATAGCCTTGAATGAACAACTAATCTTAGAGGATGCACCAAGAATTGACAGGCAAACAATGACAATCATTTGCAGGTCTACTGAGTGGGGCAGATTCACTTTTCAAGTTGACTAACCTATAGTGTCAGTCATATTGAAAATACTGCAGATAAATTCAATTCAGGTGTCAAATTACCAATTTCACGATGAGATCAACATATTTTTGATCACCCATTGCAAGGTATGTAAAGTGGAAGCTGATTATTTCAATGGATGTAGAGCTGGATGAACACAGCAGATTTCTGAAGAAGGGTCTCGACCCGAAACGTCAGCTTTCCTGCTCCTCTTATGCTGCTTGGCCTGCTGTGTTCATCCAGCTCTACACCTTGTTATCTCAGATTCTCCAGCATCGGCAGTTCCTACTATCTCTATTTCAATGGGTGATCATTTTGCCTCCTTTCCTGAAAAAGGAATTTGTTTTTTTGACATTAGGAAGCATCTGTATAATCACTTGCTGCCAGGACATCAGACTATTATTGACACTGCTCAGAAGTTCCTGTAAACTGTGAACAAAGCAAACTCCAAAACAAGAGTTTCTCCAGTGGGACTGTAAAATTACACACATTCATATACCTGGATGCTCACACCCTCCAAAACCCACTGCCCTACATTTCTTCAATCACTTAATGAACACCTACAAGATAGTATTTCAAGTATTTATTTAATGCAATGTTGTCTAATACAGTGAGATTTCAGATATGAAAAATTGTACTGCTTAAGAAATGTTAACATGAGTTATCACCACCATTATTCCTCCTTTGATTTTAGTCATGTTTGCACAAGTGCATTTTAACTTCTGTGCAGGTCTGTAAAATGGCAAGGCAAAATTGGAGCGGCACGGTGGCTCAGTGGTTAGCACTGCTGCCTCATAGCATCAGGGACTTGGGTTCGATTGCAGCCTCGGGCAACTGTTTGTGTGGAGCTTGCACATTCTCCCCTTGTCTGCGTGAGTTTCCTCCAGGTACTCCGGTTTCCTCCCACAGTCCAAAGATGTGCAAGCTAGGTTGATTGGCCAAGCTAAATTGTCCATAGTGTTCAGGAATGTGTAGATTAGGTGGGTTATAGGGGGATGGGTCTGGGTGGGATGCTCTGAGGGTTGGTGTGGACTTGTTGGGCTGAAGGGCCTATTTCCACACTGTAGGGATTCTATGTCTGTTTAAAATCAGCCTAGGATGTTGGACCATCTGTTTTGCTAAAAACTTCAGACTGGTGGATGAACGGTACTTAGATTTTCAAAAGGCTTTTGATAAGCTTCACATTGAAAATAAACATTGAAAAAATAAAATTTCATGGTGTAGGGAGTAGTACATTGGCATGGATAGGAGAAGATTGGATATTAGGAAGTAGAGTGCAAGTGTAAATGGGTCTTTTTCAGGCTGGCAATGTGATGAAAGGCATGCCAAAAGGCTCAGGGCTGGGTCCTCGACTGTTTACGATTTATATAAATACCTTGGTTGAAGGGACAGAGGGCATGATTTCCAAATGTGCTAACAACACAAGGATAGATAGGAAAAGACACAACAGTACATAAAGATACTGATAGGTTAAATGAGCAGGCAAAGAGGTGGCAAATGAAGTATATTGTGGGTAAATATGAAATTGTCCATTTGGCAGGGAGAACAATATCATCTAAATGGTGAGAGATTGTGGAGTTCTGAGGTGCAGAGAGTGTACTTGTGCATGAATCACAAAAGATTAATACACAGGCACAGTTGGTAATTAGGAAAGGCTAATAGAGTGTTATCATTTATCACAGGGGGAATGGGACACAGGTGGAGGAAACTTGGGCTTTAGTTACATAATCTGGAGAACATACACAGTATTTAAAGAAAGGTGGAAATGTCTACAGGCAGGTCAGAGAAGCCTTACTAGCCATTCTTTGGAATGGGCAGACTTTCTTCTGAGGAAAAGCTTTGACAGGCTAGGCTTGTATCCACTAGAGTTTAGATGAGCAAGTGGCAACTTGACTGAAACATAAAATCAAGAGTGCTCTTGACAGTGTAGATATGAGGAGGGTGTTTCCTCCGCAAAAATCCAGAACTAAGCACTGCTGTTTAAAAATTAGAGGTCACCATTTAGAAGTTAAGTAAATTTTCCTTTTTTTCGAGGGTCATGAGTCTTTGGAACTCTCTTCCTGAAAAGTTGGTGGAAGCAAAGTCCTGGAATATTTTTAGGGAGAAGTGAACAGATTTTTGTTAAGCAAGGGGGTGAAGGGTTACCAGGGTAAGGCATGAATGTGGATTTGTAGTTAGTCATTTGCAGTTACAGCCATGATCTTATTGAATGGCAGAACAGGCTGGTGGGGCTGAATTGCCTGTTCCTGTTCCTGATTTGCATGTCCTGTAATGCTATTGACCTTATCAAACACAATGATAAAGCTCATGTGTGTGGAGGCTGAAGATTGGGAGGATACAATATGACAGTGACACCTGACCAAAGGATTTCAAACTGCAACTATTAACATATCTTTCTTTCTGAATGTAAACTTCAGAATCCTTACAATTTCATTCTCTCTATGGCATTTGTAATAACAGTTGCAAATAAACTTAAAACATTACCACCCTCTGGTGGTTTAAGCAAAAATATACAGGATGGAAAACTGCTATAGTTTTTAGTTCATCTTCAACTTTCCATAGAATATCCAATGCATACAGTTTTAATAATGCCTTTAGCTTCTTTATGAAAAAAGATAAATTTCTTTTTGGGTTGGCAGCAAGAAATGCACAGACAATCATCCCAAGTTAGGTTAATGTTAACTGCACATGTGGAACTGGATTGTCATGTAGGCTTGCTTGACAAAACAGGAGCTCAGATCTCTTCTCCGAAGAACGTTAGTGCATCAGTTTTTTTTAAAAAGAAATACAAAACTACAATCTGTCATCTGTATTATTCTGTTCTACGGCCACAAATTACCAGTTTTACTCAATTTATTTTCATAATTTGGGTTGTTAAGTCAGTAAATTATCACCTCACATAAAAATTAGTTCTTCTCATGTACACACCTTAAACAATGTTGTTTTTGTACCTGGTCAGTTTCAGTAACTTGTATAATCTAATTAAATATGATCTTGTATTTATCCAGCTAATGTGCTCCATTAGATTGTCAACCTCACTTGAATTATACTTTTAGTTTTGCCCTGGTGTACACCAAAAACCACTTCACACCAACTCAAAACTGATCCTTAAAAACAACAAGGATGGTCAATGAGACAAGAGAATAAAAACTTTCGAGTCCATTATCTTGCATCTTTTAACTAGTTTTATAAGCATTCATAGAGACTCAAGTGAACGTATTTGGTCACAGCTGTATACAGACCAGAAGGATCGCCAAGTTATACTATCATAGAATCCATTTTGGCCTATTGAGTCCACACTGACCCTCCAAAGAGCTTCACACCCAGACCCACCCCTCTACCCTATCCCTGTAACTCTGCATTTCCCATGGTTAAGCAACCCTACCCTGCCTATCCCTGGCCATTATTGGCAATTTAGCATGGCCAATCCACATAACCTGCACATCACTGGACTGTGGGAGGAAACTCCACACAGACAGTCACTTGAGGGTGGAATTGAACCCAGGTTCCTGGTGTTGTGAGGCAGAAGTGCTAACCACTGAGGCACTATGTCACCCCCTACACTGGGCTAATGGCATTATAGTGCAGATTAAATTCAATTATGTGACATGCCTAACCTAATATGAAACCAGAGGTAGAAAATTAAAATTTTTATAGTTAATGCAAAGGAAATGATAGTCCCTTGATGATTGATAAACAAATTATATTCACATAGTACAGCATTGTCAAATACAGTAGTCATTACCTGTACTGTATGCAAGGCATTTTCAACTAGTTAATACACATGGCAAAAATGTTGCCATAGCCATATTACTTATTTCACTAGAATGGCAAAGCCTTTGGGTACCTACACCCTACAGTTTATAATCTGCTTCCTGAATCCCGTCACATCATTAGGGAAGGTGACGGCCTAGTGGTATTATTGCTGGACTGTTAATTCAGAGACCCAGGTAATGTCCTGGAGACCCAAGTTTAAATCTTGCTACAGCAGATGGGGGGGGAAGGAAACTGCCATCCTTACCTGGTCTGGTCTACATATGACTCCACACCCACAGCAATGTCATTGACTCTTAACTGCCCTCCATGTAATTATGGACGGGCAATAAATGTTGACAAGGTCAGCAAAGCCCTCACCCCGTGAATGAACTTAAAAAAAAAACATTTCTTTATTCTTAAGACCCTCTTTAACACCCATATTTAACCAGGCTTTTGGTTGCCTCAACTGATATCTGTTTCTTTAACTTGGTGCCCACTTTACTCCGATTCTAAAACATTTTCAGAACACTAAAACCAATATATAAATACAAATTGCATTGGAACTACTTTTGAGTTGGCATCAACACAATTCAGAGTCTATTTGACATTTATGCCAATAAATCCAGTGGGGTTATCCCAGTAGTAAAATTGTAGACCTATGAAAGACTTTTTTTGGGCTACCTCCCAAATTCAATCCCCTCAGCTTGCCGATACTAATAAACTTAACTATTTTGGTCCGACTGTAAATCCAAGGCAATTTAGTAATGTAAACTTCAGAGTTCAGAGCCCTCAGAAAACTGTTGCAGAGTAATTTATGGCACAAAGTGGGGGTCGCTTTTCAATCCATCATATTGTCGTAGAGGAGCAATCCACTCCTTTGCTCAAACTCCATAATCCATGAATGTTTATTTCCTTCAAGTGACCATCCACTCTCCTCTTGAAATAACTGACTGCTCGCACTTCTACCACCCTTGTAGAGCTGAGTGTTCCAGATTCCTGAGCAAGAATATTTTCTCACATTTCCCCTGTAGCTTTCCCCAAAAATCAATGAGACCTCTGGTCCTTGCCCGGTCAGCTAATGGAAGGGTTTTCTTTATCTACTTTACCAAAATTTGTCTGTAAGTCAATCTTGTGCACTTCTATCAAATTTCCCCTCAATGGATGTTTTCTATTGTAGGGGAGTATTGAACTAGGAACACAAATTAACAAAATAGAGGTGTCTCATTCAAGACTGTTTTAAGGATCCCCCCACCTTGAGAGGATTGTTACTTTGTAGAATTCTCATTCCCCAGACAGGAGCAAAGATTGCTCCACTGTATATGGTCGAGATGGTTTTAGACACAGTTTTGGACACCAAGGGAGTCAAGGGTTATGGATGGCGGGCAGGAAGGAGGAATTGAGGCCACGAGCAGATCACCCATGTTCTTACTGAATGGAGACGCAAGCTCAAGGAGTTGGATGGCCTACTTCTGTTACTGATTCTTGTGTTCATTGTTTCCTCTAAGTTGCGCAGCCGCTGAGGCTCCGTGCATGCCAGTCAGTGTGCTGATGTATTGACTTCCAGTATTACAAGTCATGGATGCACACAGACCTCAGATCTCCAGATTGGGAAAAAATAGTTAGAGGAAGTATTCCTTGTGTTGTGTTCAATCTCCTTTGCTCCAAGGAGTGCAAACCCATTTCCAACCCAACCTTTTAACTAAAACTTGCCAACCAATCAGCACCTCTTCCTACTTAGAAGCAATTAACTGATAGTTTAAAATTGGGCATTCTTGCATTTGGCCTGATAAGTACAAGACAAAAAGCTTTGACAACATGTCCCACTTTTCAGCATTATTGAAGTTCTGTATTGCCAACCACCTATAAATCTTAAAATATATTGTTTCTTCATTCTTGCTAGGTCACAATGGTAGAGTTTCTTTTAAAAAATAAAGAATTTTTTTTAGTAGAGAGGTGGATACTTTGTAACTTACAATATTGTGCAATTTTATGGATATTTGAACTTATAACATGAGCAAGCTTTTGTGCTTCTAAAGATGAACTAGTTTCTTCCAAGTGACCATCGTTCCTATTCGAAATCATGGCTGGTTAGCAGTTTAACTAAAACTCCAGCGAGAGATTCAATTGACCAACATCAGAAGTCCAAATAATCTTCCTTCGGATTATTTCCGAGACCTGGAAAACATTAAAATATATGAACATAAAAGTCATAAAAAGGATTCAATAGGGGAAGGAAGATCTATTCACCTCTATTCAAAAACATGGACTTAAAAATTAGGGGTAATTAATATACAAGTTGGTCATTAATAAATCCAACAAGAAATTCAGGAGAAAACGTTTAGGAAGTGATGAAAAAGATAGATTCAAAGAGTTAACATCCTATGGAAGATTAATTTCATAATTCATCTATTTTAATTCAAAATTCATGTATGTTAATTCAATCAGCATCATTAAAATTTAAAAGCAATGATTAGGTCATTTATCCCATTGTTTGTAAGACCTTGCTTTGTGCAATTTGGACGTAACATTGATTTATTGTAAAGTTGGTGTAATTTCAAAAGTGCTTCACTGACTGTAAAGTACTTTATGATATTCCAAAGTCATTAAAGGCACTATTTAAATACAAACTAAATGGGAGAGAAAATGAAATAATTGTGTACGTAATAAAAGAGTGCATAGACAGAGAATCTGACGTTGCAGAATGCAAACCTCTTACAGATATCAGTTCATGTCACCCAAAGTATCAAAACCTTGTCAAATTAGGAACATAGGAATACAGGGAGCCATTCAGCCCCTCAAGCCTATTCCACCATTCAATGAGATCATGACTGATTTGTGACCTAATCCCTTACATCCAATCCAGCATCCACTATCATCTGAGGAAGAGAGTTCTAAACATCTACCATATTTTGTGTTATAGAAGTGCTCCTTAATATCTCTCCTAAACAGTCTGGCCCTAATTCTGAAATTATGCCCCCTAGTTCTAGAATCCCCAACCACTGGAAATGGTTTATCATTATCTGCCCTGTCTTCCTGTTAATAACAAAGAGAATTAAAAGATGAAAATCTGCCCTATCAATAAAACAGCCACTCTCCCCAGGTTTTGATTACAGATCACAACTGTTTTATTTCCTTCAATGACTGACAAACTTCAGATTGACAAATCATACAATCCCTACAGAGCAGAAACAGGCCAGTCAGCCCATCGAATCTGCACTGACCTTCTGGAGAGCATCCCACCCAGACCCAGACCTCCAGCCTATTCCTGTAACCCAACACTTACCATGGCTAAACCACCTAGCCTACACATTCCTGGATACCACGGGGCAATTTAACATGGCCATTCCCCCTAACCTGCACATCTTTGACTGTGGGAGGAAACTGGAGCATCTGTGCAAATTCCACACAGTCACCCAAAGAATCGAACTTGGGTGCGCGGCACTGAGAGGCAGCAGTGCCAACCACTGAGCCACTGTGTTGCCCAAATCAGGCTAGTAATTACACCATCCTCAAGATGAAGATGGTGCAACAAAATGAACTGACTAGGCAAATTGCTACTGATAATCACCTAGAAGTTTCTTTTTGCAGATATATAGGTTGATGTCATCAGTGGCTCTTAGACTCAGCAAAAAAAAAGTCTCAGTGATAAGATGGGGGATGGGCCAGGGAGGAGTCAAAAATAAGAACAGAAGCATAAATTCAATGGGGACAGGAACTGGTGTGCAATATGGCAAGAAATAAACATTGCTCAACAGCCTTCAGGACCCTGCAGACAAAATAATGAACATTCCAAGTAACATCAGGCAGATAGATGGGAAATGTGAAAACTTTAACCAAGGGAGCAACAAAGCGCATGTCAGGGAGCCAAAGGGCTAAGAAAAGCCAGCAGAAATCATGACAGAAGGAAAATAGAGAAGCACCAACCAGCAATTTCCCTCTGAGCTATGCATTGCAAAACCAGTGAATAAGCCAGAGGAATGTAAACAGGGAAGAAAGAGAAAATATTTCTAATGAATAATGACAAAGCTGGGTTGGATATGCAAGCACAGCCAACAGGAAGATCCATTTCAAGGAAGAAAGAACTAAGCAATGGAAAATATGAGCTGAGATGGGACAGATTGAGGTGATCCAATGAATGGAAATTTTGCAATAGCTGTAAGCCATTGGGGAAAAAAGGAGTTAAATGCAAATGAATGATACGGCCCAGATTTAATCAAATACAGAAGGTGACAAAAGCAAAAGGAGAGTACAGATAGCATACAGTTGGAGTATCACAACTGGATCAAACCATAAATGAGATGAAAAGGTGAATCAGAATTATAACAGTGAAAAAACTAGTCAAATTTGAAGGAATATCATAGCATCCTGTAACTTACTGAGAGTATTGTCAAGTAACATTGATTTAATCGCACACTTTTGTACATTCTAATCATTTCCTTCGTGTAACACTTCCCAAAACTACACATCACAACTTACCATGCCTTCTGACTCAAAACAGTACATGTTGTGTTAATTAGATCAGCAGTGTTTACTCTCATTAATTTTTAGAAATAGAAAAAGTATTGCTTTTATGTATTAACCAGTGGACAACAGGTTACGCACCAAGATGTCCTTTTATAAAACCAAATGAAACATCCCCATTTGCAGGCTTCTCAGAACAGATTTTTTCACAAACATTGATAAATACTGCTATGCACAGCAAAAGAAAACAAACTTTCTTGAGCAAAGCAGCTCTTGAGGCCTTTGAGCTAGCCAGTCTAGATATTAAAATAGCAGCCCTTAATGAGGCCCATTTCTCACAGCAAGGTAGCCTGACAGAGCACAATGGTGGCCACAACTTCATTGGTCAGGTAAGTTGCAAGGTGAACAATAACTCTTCAGTGTCAGCTTCATGGCGAGGTATTGCCATTCAACATTCGAACTTACAATCACATGGGACATCATGTCCCTGCACCTCAACCTCTAAGACCACCATCATGCAACTGTCATCGGTGTTTATGCTCCAACCCTGAAGTCTAACCCAGTTCGTAAGGATAATTTCTATACGGATCTTTCTGAACTCTCCAGAATGTCCCTTCCAAGGGCAAAATTGTCATCCTTGACAATTTCAACAGAGATCACCATCACAAAATGGCATGAAAAAGATGCTTAGAAACCTTGGAGGCTTGGAAACTGCAATGAGAGGAGATATTCAGAACAATGCAGAAAAAAAAACCTCGTAAAAACCCAAATAAATTGGATCAGCAACTGGCAACCGTCTTCTTGCTGAGTTTTTTTTTATTCATTCATGGGATGTGGAGGTCACTGGCTAGGCATTTATTGCCCATTCCTAATTGGCCAGAGGACAATGAAGAATCAACCACATTTCTGTGGGCCTGGAGTCATATGTAGATCATGCAAGGATAGCAGTTCCCCTCCCAAAAGAACATTGGTGAAACAGATGGGTTTTACTGACAATCAAGGTCATCATTAGATTCTTAACTACAGATTTTTATTGAATTCACATTTCAACTGCTGCCACAGCAGAGACTGTCACACACCTCCTGCTGGAATGTGGAAAGGAAATCTGGAGAAAGACGCAGTGGTTTTTGTCAAAGTTCGTCCCGAGCAGCTCCATGATGCAGGACTCCGTGCTCTACTGACTGTTCCTCAGCACACACACAGAGCCTGGAGGACCATCAACTCCATGAAAGGTGCTTTTTGGCCTCCCCGAAACTGGTGAGTCTTCCAGACCAAGGAGATGGCCTTGAATGAGAGTTGCAGATTGGCACATTCCAAGGTCCAGGGCTAGGTGCTGAGAGATGTACAAAAGCTTGGGGCAGCTGCTGCCAAGGCTTAGTGGGGAAAGACTACTGAAAGAGCTCAAATGCACGTAAATATTGTCTGGTTCAAGTAAGGACAAACTCCAACGTTTGTTTGTTTCCTTGATATGCTACTGTACAGAACCAAACTGCATTTGTGACATGTATTTATACAAAGATATTTTTTATGAATAAAGTATATTTTTGAAACAAGAAAGGGATAAAAGTGATAAGGGAATGGATGATCTGTTCGTAACTTAAAGGTCAGTTTGTCAGTTCAGCCAGCCAGTCAAGAGGAAAAGACAGCCTACAGTCAAGCATACTTTAAAAAGGGCTCCTGTGAAAGTGATAGTATCCTACCTACAAGGGAAATATGCAAAGCAGTAAATTTATATCAATCTACATATTTAGTCTATCATTAGAAAAAAATGTATTGAAACTAAAAGGTTTAAGCTTATGAAGTGAGACAGAGAGAGAGAAAAAGAGAGAGATATTGTGTGATAGGGTGAAACCATTCACACAGCAGCCACTGATGCTAAAATCTCACTA